CGCTGGGATACATCGCTGCCAGCCCGTGGCCTCAATGGCTAGTTGAGCGCAATATTCCACGAACTGGTTTCTGGTATACAGTCTCCTTAAACCCATCAGTACCAGGGTTATGTTTATGAAAGATATTTGCTAGGGAAGAAAATCTCACTGAAAGCATCCTTGTCACACTTAGAGTAGTCGAAAGACTCTGTGTCCTCGTTGTCCTCATTATCCACCTTTATGCGATTCACAGTATATGAGGGACCTTCACTGTCCTTGCCATCCTTCCTTGCGCGCTTTGCAGCATGGGAAGGACCTTCTGGCGGCAGCTCTGTTGAAATGTCTACGTTTTGTCGAGCCTAAAAGCATATAGCGTCGAAATCGGAGGATACACTAGAAGTATCGGTCAACCAGTTATTCGAACGCCAAATAGATTTTTTAAATTTTATGAATTTGAGTGCTCAGCGCCTGAATAACTAGTTCACCTATAATTCAAATATTGCGAAAAACTTACGGTTTTCTTTGCTCGCTTCAGCTCTTTCTTGGTCATTATCTGTGAATCAGCGAAGGAAAAGTGCGCTTTTTCATAAGCCTCATCGCGAAGATCAATTACTTCTTCGCTGACACCCTGAAACTCATAAAGTCAAGTCAAGCGTCAGAGAAAAGTATCAGAGAAATCATCGCTGTAGACAAACTCACGTTTCACCAGGCAGCTGATGAGCCGTGACAAGGCTGCAGGTGCGCGTCAACTGTAGACCCACTGACCCTTACGTGCGAAGCTCGCTCGGCATGTTCTGATCCATGTTTTTTTCAGTAATACGTCGAACAGTACGAGCAGTGTCGCGATCTGTGCTGGCATTTGGACAAGCGGGCTTAGGAGAAGATACTGCCTTTTGGAAAAATTGTCTTGCCGAAACGAAAGACGGATGCAGCTGTCTAACTAAATTTCCGGCGAAGTTACGTCGCGTCAAAAGAAGTGGCAGCCAGGCCCTTCCTTCCCATGTCCGGAATATGGTGCGATAGGTCATTTGTAGTCAAACTTCAAAAAAACCTACCGGAGTAGTCGATATCACAGGCCGTTCCGTGGCCGGGTCGTGATGAGTGTACATCTTTTGCGTACTATTCACATTCTTCGATTCATTACTCTCCCTAGGTTTCTCCTCATTCTGAAAAATGGCAATGATCGCAGGATAACAGGCAGAGTAAAAGCGAACATGCGAGAGTCCTACTTCTTTTTTCCTAGCCTGTGTCACTGCAACAGTATAACTTTCGTAAGGTGTCGGTGTCTCTTGTAATCTCTCGAATATTTTCCTCGCCAGCTCGGTTCTAGCCGAAGAATCCTGATGGAATGATTACATTGTAAAATTTAACAAAAACGAATATTTTTAAATGATGGTACATTTGCTTCGCGGTAAAAAATAAATGATTTCACCATCAGTGAAACCTTCGATCAGATGACCTAAAGACACAATCCGCGACTTCCGAGTCATGTCTAGCGGGGTCCAATTACCTTCTGGTGGATAATAAGCGACATTCCCAAAAAAAGGCAGAAGAAGCCATCAAAAACGCTCCGAATAGGCAACAGTATACATTTAGAGCATCGATACTTGGAAGGCCTCGATACCGGGGTGAGGCTTTGCGACTAAAACAAGCCTCAAGCCCGATTCTCAAGCGCTTTCGAAAAGAGCAAATGGTCCGCATCACGCTACTGCGGATCCTCGCTTTCTACATGTTTAAAGAGTACGTGCTCCTAATGATGGCGAAATGTGTCTTTAAGAGTTACTGCTGGACAGGGTGCCTACAGTCTTGTTCGCTGCGGATGATGGGGCGTGTCAGCACGGCCGTGTTTGGCGCCTAGCGAACCTGTTTTTTGCTTTTTTTTTCTTTCTGCAAGCAACATACCGTATCATGTTAACTGTAGCAGTGTTTTCCAGTGTGTGTCACTTACTCGTTTCAGCAACTGGTGTAGAACGGGTTTGGCGGCGCGCCAAACGCAGCCACGCGGGCACGGCCCATCATGCGCAGCGTACCAGACCGTATACAGTGCTGTGCTCAAAATTCTAACCTCATCGACAACGCAGTGTGTGTCAGGATCTTGTTCTATCTCGCTCCCC